GAGCCACAATCCCAGTCCCCCCATCCCCTTTGTGCTTTAGTTATTTTTGGATAGGGTCCCACATTTCTGCCCAGGGCAGCCTGGGACTGCGATCCTCCTACCCATGTCTCCCACATAGCTGAGATTATAGCAGTCGGCATCACCGTGTCCAGATTGTTGAGATGGGGGGGGGGTCTCAACAATTTTTGCTTGAGTTAGACTTAAAACTACAATCCTACTGATCTCTGCCTCTTCAGTATCTGAAGTTGCAGGCATAAACCTCCTGCAGTGCTGGCTAAGACTTTCAAATTTAATGAGTTAATCTCTTTGCCTTTCCAGTGAAAAGGTGGCACAGAGTTGGGTAAAGGTGGAGAGAAGCTGACATAAGCATGATATGCCAGGCTCACAACCTCTTCTCAGCATGTTTGTTTAGTGTGTATAAATGGTTATTTTTATTTTTTGGGGTACTGAGGTTTGGATTCAGGGCCTTATGTTTGCAAGGGAAGCACTCTACCACTTGAACCACTCTCCAGCTCTTATAAATGGTTATTGCTTTACATCCAACACTAGCTACTTATCTTAACCATACTTTGGATATCCATCCTTTGTAAGCTTATATTAATATTTAACCCCTATAATTAAACACAAAGTTAATGGTAGTTATGTTTTTCCTTTCAAACACTTTCTGATTTTTCTAAACATTAAATCAATTCAGCAAATATTTACTGAGGTTGTTCCATGGTATAAAGAACTTTTTATGCACCATGAGGAATACATACAAAGAAAATCCCACATGGCTCCTTAGTTGGAATCCTACCAGTGAGAGAGAATACATACACAAATTAAGCACCTTATAATACAAAGTCACTCATGCAATAAAGGGATCATTCCAACTGGGGAAAGGCCTGAGGTGCAAGAAAAGAGGTATACCCTGCTGGAGACAACACACAGAAAGCTGACACTATTCAGAGAAACAGACAGCTGAGCTCAGTCTTCCAGCAGTCTCTGATAGGCATGTGAGTGAAAGAACCATCTTAGAAGTGGATTCTCCAGCCATGACCTCCTTGGCTAACAGCATGTGGACCAGAAAAAAAATGGCAGGTGAGCTCTTCCTAATCTCCTGACCCATAAAACTGTTAACAAATAAAACTGCTGTATTAAGGCAGTGAGGTCTGGGGTGGTTTGGGATGTGCTGATAGATAACTGAAACAGAGTTTTATCTTCCAACCAATGGGAAGCAATATGAGAGCTGTACGTTAGGAAAATCAGCCTAGCTGCAACATACAGAAGACTGTATCTGGTGCCAGGAAAGCCAGGAAACAGGACCAGTGAAGTTTAAACTAGAGATAATGGTATGGAGGGGGAGGAAAAAATTCAACATACTGACTACAGAATTAGATTCAATGAGATCTGATACATAACTACTTCAGGGCAAGAAGAAAATAGGAATCCAGGTTGACCTAGATGTTTAGATCAGGTGACTAGAGAATGGCAAAGCTATTAAGGATGATCAAGGCATATGATGTGTCAAGAGAAAGAAAATGCAGTGTGTTAATTTTAATATGCAGACTAAATGAAGTTAACTAAGGTACAATAGCATCTGTAATTACAGACATAACTGCAAATAATTAGTCTGGAGTTTAAGCAGAGTTTAAACGAGCTGTAAAAATCTTATTATTAGCAGCTTTGTACAACAGGAAAGGATTGAAACCAAAGAGTCACAATCTTCAGGTTGGTTAGCTACAGATTTTACCATAGAACATTAAGATTTTCCTCAAATGTCAACTAATTAGAAACTGGGACAGGTATAAGAACATCCTTGTTCACAGGATAAAATCAACATTTCCTTTTTCTTTTTTTTTTGGTGGGAGTGGGTAGATACTGGGGATTGAACTCAAGCCCTTGCACAAACCAATGTTTCTAATCATCTTTTTAATTAAAACTGGACACTCTCTGCGATTGTGACAATCTATCCCCTCTATCTCCATTACTGTCTGCTATGCTCTACTCCTTGATCCACATTAGCACAGCACACACCTCACCATGGAAGAACCCAAGTCCTTACCATGTACAAATCACTGCAACATGTGACCCTTGCTGACATAGGCAATGCCACCTCGTTAACACCCTCACCACTACCACTGTTCTCAATGACAATGGCTTGGTGCCCTGACTTTTCTAGCTCCTTCCTTCCATTTCAACCACTTCTCTGGCTGGATTTTTTTTTTTTTTTGGTGGTACTGGGGTTTGAACTCATGCTTGCTATGCAGGTGCTCTACTGCTTGAGCCACACCTCCAGTGCATTTTTCCCTGGTTATTTTGGAGATGGGGATCTTATGAACTATTTGCCTGGGCTGGCCCTGAACTACTATCCTCCCAATCTTAGCCTCCCAAGTAGCTGGGATTACAGGTGTGAGCCACTGGCACCCAGCTGGCTTACTCTTCATCACTGTTCTCTGGCCCAATTACCTCTATTCATCCTTTAGTTCTTCCTCAGAAGAAAAGCCTTTCCTGATTATCTATCCCACGTTAATTCACACTACACCTTCCACTTCCTCCAGTGTATTTACCACTTACTAATTTCATAGTTATTTAGGAAACTATGCTTAATATTGGTCTTCTCTGCTGGAATGTAAGTTCCAAGAAAGATCATATGTCTTACTCACTTCCATAGCCTTGGGACCCATCCCATGCCAGGCACAGAGACTATACTCCACAAAGTAGTGCTATTTCTGAATAAATAGCCAGAACTCTGCACTCAAACTGAGTTTATTACAGCTCTGACCCTTACAAAGTTTGTGATCAGGTAAGTTATTTTTTTCAGTGCCCTTCCTTCCCTTTTAAAGTAAAGGTGATAACAGAACCTACAGTGTTGAGAAAGTCAAAAGAGTTAGTATATAGAAAATGCTTAGAACAGTGTCTGGCACAGTTAGCGTCATGTTTCCTTCAGATAGAATGATGCCACTGTCAGGAGTGAGGATTCATTATGATCCCTTGGAGAAATCTAGAATATAACAGAGAGCTGGGAGTAGTGGGGCATGCCTGCAATCCCAGCTACTTGGGAGGCAGAGGCAGGAACATGGTGTGTTCACCACTACCCTGGGCAAACTAAGCTGAGACCCTGCCTCAAAAACAAGAAACAAAAGGGCTGGGGGAATGGCTCAAGTGGTAGGGCTTTTGCCTAGTATGCCTGAAGCCCTGGGTTCAATCTCCAACACCAAAAGAATTTAATTTAAAATATAGCAAAGCCTAGACAAAAGTACACATATTAAACAGTAGCTCGTACTGTACTAAGCAAACACAGGGCCTCTTACCTATCCTACTTTATAAACTTTTCCATCTCCCTCCCTCATGCCTCGACTTACTCAAGGGGGTTAGATGCTGCTAGCCTTTGAGATATAAATCTAAATCTTCTAGTGAGGTTTGCAGGAGTCCAAAATCTTCTAGTCATTTCCTAAACTCACCACCACCCTCACCCCCAGGCACATACATTTGAGATACAAACCCCAATACCAATCCAGGCTGTTCCTTAGCCACATCTTCTTTCCTTACTAAATCCAGATGAGGATGTGTCTGTTGGTCGCATTTGCCTGATCCTGGGTTTGATCCCCAAGATCACCTCCCTCCCCTTAAAAAAAATCAAAAGTGGTTATAAAATCTTCTCAAGCTGATGCCATTGACTCATGCCTGTGATCCCAGCTACTTGGGAAGCTGAGATCAGGAGGATTGCAGTTCAAGGCCAGCATGGGTAAAGAGTTGGTGAGACCCCCTTCTCTAAAATAACCAGAGCAAAATGGACTGGAGGTGCTCCTCAAGCAGTAGAGCCTGCTTTGGAAGTGCAAAGCCTAAATGCAAACTCCAGTACCACCAAAAAAAAAAAAAAAAAAAAAAATGCGTGGGGCTTGGGTTTCTGCAGTTAAAAAGAGAAGGCATTGGTCTCCAGACAGATTTAGGAACCATCATGCCTCAAGTCATGTGTCCAGGTGGCTCACAAAGGCCCCTCCTCATTATGCAAGATCACTGTGGTCCCCACAGAGAGGATGGCCTCTCTTCCCTTGTAGTTTCTCTTCTCTGTAGCTGAGCTGGAGAGAAATGACAGGCCTAGGATGGCTATGGGCTTGTCCTCAATCGAACTAAGGAAATAAATATAAAACAAACCATCAAGCTGGTAGAGCACCTGCTTTGCAAGAGTGCATTCCTGAGTTCAAATCCCAGTCCTGCTAAAAAAAATAAATAAATAAATAAAATAAAAATAAAATCTTCCTCCCGTCTCTCGATCCTACGTCTTCTTCCTCCCAACAGGGAAAAATGTCTTCTTTTTCATCTCTGCACGAAGGGAAGAATAAGCAAAGGCAGCTGCCACCAAGGCACTTGTCACAATGGCGGAGTTGCTCCAAGTTTCCCGACGATCCAGCAGCAGCACTGGGGGGTGGGGGTGGGGGTGGGAGGAGCGCGAAGGGGGTTGGGGGGCAAGGGGAGTTTCAGTCCTGAACCCCGAAACGTGCAGGAGCCGCGTCCCCACGCGCGTCGAGTGACAGATGCCAACTCTCGCCGTTGGAAAACGCGGAGCACTGATCGCGAGTGGCAGTCGTCAACCTGGCCGGGCTGGAGTTCAAAAGTCACGGTCCACCTCCTTCCGCCTCTCCAGGTCGCGGACACCGTTTCGGGTCGCACAGAGAAAAGCGAACGGCCACCGAAGGACACTCGGTCTCTCGGGACGCTGGTCCGAGAAACTTCCCTAAGTGGCCGGGACCGGGTCCGTCTGTCCGTCCGCCCGCGTCTTGATCACTCCCGCCTCGCCGTCGGCGTCACCCCCACTCCACCCCCAAAAAAATCTCCCTCCCACCGCCACCCCCACCCCGGCCTCTGCACCCCCACCCCGCGCCCCCGCGGCCCTCACGGCCCGGCCCCGCCCCCACCCCCAGCTCCGCAGGCGGGAGGCCACTCGCCCTCCCCAGGCCCGCCGACCTGTCCTCGCGCGTCCACCCACCCGCGTCCACCCGTCTCTGACCGACACTTACTCGCCACTTAACTAGCCCGCGAGGAAAGCTCTGCCGGCCGCCTCCGCGTCCGAGCGGTCAGTCACCTCAAGAGGCGACGGAGAGCTCCGTAGCCGGCGCCGCCGAAGCTGCAGCGGCGCTCCTTCCGGCCTCGCCGCGGCGTCACCTCGCGCCTGCGCACAGCGCCCCCTCCCGACTAATAACAGGAAGTACCATAGAGGCACGCCGGGTGCTGGAGAGGAGGGGCCGGGGAGGGCGACCATAGAGACGACAGCCTAGCCTCTCCTCTTGACCAGCGCACAGCTTCCGAGCCTTGACTCCCCCATGAGGCCGGAGGACCGAAGGACATGAGGAAGACCCTAGGCTCCACGTGGTGTCACTGTTGAGAGTTGATAAGGAACATGGGGGAAGGAGACGGGGGCCATGGATATCTATTTGTCCCCCGCCCCAGTCACCCCTTTTGCCTTTGGCAAGTCATTCATTCATTTAACACATACTCTGATTGCCTGTGTGCCAAGCACTTATCTAAGTTGAGACATAAAATGATTCAAAATTTCCCCAGTGGCATTCGGTTAGCACTGTTAATATTAACAATCAGTCTTTATTGTAAGCAAATTTAATTTTTTTTCCTTCAAATAAGCTGTCAGGGGAAGCCACGACTTGACGGTTTGTAGGACCCTTAGATAATTCTAGAGAATTCTGCAGCTTTTTCCATTCAGGCCAGAGGGGGAGCACTTCTTTTAGCAGCCCAATGGGAGGCTTGTGATTGGTGCAAAGATGGTCCTTTATTTACTTGAAGAACTGTGCTGTGATAGGTGCAAACAGTCTCTCATTTGCATGAAGGACTGTGGTGATTGGTGCAATCACCTTTGCCACACCCCTTTCCTGGCTATATAAGGAGGCTGTTCTCACTCTGTCAGCTAGACTTGTGCTGTTGTGAGGTGTTGCAACATTAAGCCAATAAAAGGCTTCTCCCAAGTTTTTTTTTTTTTTTTTTTTTTTGTAGTACTGGGGTTTGAACTTGGAGGGGGAGGGCTCATGTTTGCCAAACACACACTCTACTGCTTAAGCCACTCTGCTAGCCCTTTTTTGTGGGTGGTGGGTATTTTCCAGATAGGGTCTTGAGAAGTATTTGTCCAAAACTGGGTTTGAACCACAATCCTCCTGATTTCTGCCTTCCCAGTAGCTGGGATTACAAGCATGAGCCACTGTGCCTGGTACATGTGGTCTTTTCTTGCTTACTTGCTCCCCCTCCATGAGCTACAAACCATCTATGCCCCCACCTCCTAAAGGCTCCACTACTTCCCAAATGCCCCAACCTGGGGTCCAGACCTTTAACACATGAACCTTCCAGGCACAGTTAAGATCCAAACTACAGCAGAGGTCGTTGGGCCTGATGGGCGCATCCTCCAGGATGGTCTTCTTGGGGAAGAGGACAGTTACCACCAGCTGTTCTGGGAACCACGTTGTAACGCCTACCAGGCAGTAGTGGGAGAGCTTGCAATCTTAGGAAGACAGCACGGGTCTTTCTAGTTCCCTGAATCAAACCCAAGGGAGGGTTGATCCAGGTGCAGCTCTGAGCCTGGAATTCTTCATTTGTGCCCACTCATTCTTTGGCTTAGTGACTTTTCAAGGATGCAATGGTATTGTCTGTGAATCAAGAAACTCTCCTAAGCTGGGCACCAGTGGCTCATATCTGTAATCCCAGCTACTCAGGAGGTAGAGATCACGAGGCTTGTGGTTCAAAGCCAGCCTGGGCAAATAGTTCACAAGACCCCATCTGGAAAAAACCATCACAAAAATAGGGCTGGTGGAGTGTGTTAAGGTGAAGGCCCTGAGTTCAAGCCCCAGTACCACAAAAAGAAAGAAACTCTCCTAGTAGTTGATTGTCCCAATTTTGGTGGCATCTTCAACACTTAGGCTCATAAGAGACACCTTGTCTCTGCAAATTTCTCAGTGAGGGCAAGAGGGAGCCACTTCCCTTCTTCCAGCTTGCCCTGGAATCCTTCTGTGTCTTTGATGTCGCAGGTTTTCATTCCAAGAGCACACCGGTTCTAGCTAAGACTGCCAGTGTGCTAGATAAAGTTTTGCAATGTTACTTCCTCAATTTTGTTTTCCCCTTCTCCCCCACCTTTGGAAAGTTTGTAGGAGAGTTGCTTGCATTTGTGTTTCTGAAAGCTCAGCCCTCTTGGGGAGATGGTGCCAACAGACTCTCTCTGGGACACTTCAACACAGGTCACATTTTGAGGGAAGAGTATCTAGTGAGTTCCTTCTTAGAGATTTGCAAAAGGAGTCCTCTGGAAAGAGCTGGAAGGGAAATGTGGAAAGTCTGATGGTGGTGGGACCAGAGTGTCTGGTGGTGGCTAAGAAAGGCCAGAGAGGGACTGGATGTATGGAACTGAAGCCAGGAAAGCAGTGACCACATTGGTCACACTTGAGCTATTGAGTGTGGAGTAGCCAGGGCCCGGGGTGCATGGTAGACTGTTGACTGACAGCAAATGAGGCAACAGATGAGTCCACAGGGGCCTCCCTGGGCAGATGCCTGGGTACCTGGTACTGCCACACCACCTGGTATTACCCACCCCAGGGTAGTGCAGGCACTGGCAAGGAATGCAAGGAGCAGAGGTCACTGAATGGCCTTGGATTTAGGTTCTGAACCTCATTGTATTGGAAGCTCAAAAAACAAGGGCTGCAGGCGTGGCTCAAGAGGTAGAGCAATTGCTGAGTCAAGGGCCTGAGTTCAAACCCTGGTATCGCCCAAAAGAAGAAGTTAAATTGAGCCCTAGGGAGTTAGAAAAGTAAGGAGTTTGTGCACCAAGATTCACATGAATCAGGGAAGGAAAGAATCACTAGGTGAGGGTCAAAGAACAGTTGTGAGACATGAGGGTCAGAAGGGGATGTGTGTGTGTGTGCGTGCATGGGAGGGTGTCATGGCTCAAGCCGGTAATCCTAGCTACTCGAGAGGCAGAGATCAGGAGAGTTGCAGTTTGAGTCTAGCCTAGGTGAAAAAAAAAAGTTCACAAGACCCCATCTTAACCAATGGCTAGGTGCCATGACACATGCCTGTCATCCCAGGTACACAGGGGAGCACAAATAGGAACACCACATTCTATTTGGTCAGGACATACAGCGAGAGCCTCTCTTTAAAATAACCAGAGCAAAAAGGGCTAGGAGTGTGGTTCAAAGGTGAAGTCCAGAGTTGAAACCACAATACCATTGAGAGAGAGAGAGAGAGAGAGAGATCATTTTCATCACCCCCAAAAATCCTCTTGTGCTCCTTCCTAGCTCGTCCACCAACCCCATCCCTGATGCTAGCAACCACATACCAGCTTTCTGTCCCTTTAGACTAGAAATGCTTTTCTGTACTTTCATGTAAATGGACTCACGTACCCCTGTGTCTAGGTCTAGTCTCTTACCCTCTCTCTCTCTCTCCCGATTTCTTTCGCTTGGCATGTTTTTGATATTTCTCTATGTTTTTATGTCCCTCAGTAGTTTATTCTTTTTTATTGCCGTATAGTATTTCATCACAAGGATATAACAATTTGCTTATCCAGTGGGTGGACACTGAGTTGTTTCCAGTTTGGGACCAGTCTGAATAAAGTTGTTACAAACAGTCCAGGAGAAAGTTTTGGCTAGATATGTGGTTTCATTTCCTAGGTATGAAATTGTTGAGTCATATATTAAGTATCAATTTTCCAAAGTGGTTGGATCTTGTATTTCAATACTTGAATAAATATGAGTTCTTTTTTGTTGTTGTTGTATGGGGGCTTGAACTCAAGGTCTTTCAGTTGCTAGGAAAGCTGTAGTTGTATTCGTTTTTAAAAATTGAATTTTCGTCTTATAGTTGTAAGAGTTCTTTTTATAATGTGCATATAAGTTCTTAGTATTGCATATGAATTCCCCAGTCTCTGCCTCATTCTTTTCCTTTTCATTTCTTTCCTTTCCTTTCTTTTTTTTTTTTTGGTGGTCCTGGGGTTTGAACTCAGGTCTTCATGTTGCTAGGCAGGTGCTGTACCACTTGAGCCACTCCACCAGCCCTTTTTTTGTGGTGGTTTTTTTTTCAAGATAGGGTCTTGTGAACTATTTGCCCAGTGCTGGCTTTGAACCACGATCCTCCTGATATCTGCCTCCTGAGAAGCTGGGATTACAGGTGTGAGCCACTGTGCCCAGCTTATAATTCACATCCTTCCTTTATCCCAACCCACCTTCAGACACTGTTATGCCACTTTGTGTTCAAGCTGAGACTCATACAGGAATACATTTCCATGCCCAGTGGCCCACACCACCTCTTGTGCCTTTACTCCCACATAAAATACAAACTCCGTAATTCTGATTTTTCCAGCGCACCTCCCAGCTGCCTCAGCCTCTTTGATTACTGATCTCCTGGCTCCTCTATACCATAAAGCTACTGGGCTCTGATTAAGTTTTGGGTGTCTTTGAGCCCCTGGTTGGAAACTGCTTCCAGGCGGGAAGTGGGGAGATTACAGGGAACCTCATCTCATGCCTTCTCCGTGCACTATGCAAGGTCTGACCCTCCTGTTTCACGTCTCTGTTGGTTTTGACAGTTGACAATAATTCTGATCCCTGGTCCTTCCCCACCACGGGAAGTGGAGGCCTCAGCACTACTCACCTGACCCCATGGTGGGCGCTCATGTCCCTGAAACCCTGCACCTTAATTGCTTGTGCTACTTGAGTCACATTCAAATAGACAGTCACAAACATGTCAACTAGAATAGTCTTGCTTCGCTCCTGTGGTTCACGCACTGCTGTGGAAATCCCACAGCCGATCTAGTCTCAAAGGCTTGTAAGTGAATGCAAAACAGAGGGCGAGTGGCAGGTCAGGGTGACACAGGCTGTCAATGCGAGGTTCTGGCCAAAGATCCAGAAGGACTTTTAATTTCCAACTTCTGGTGCCCCTGCTCACTACTTTTTCTGCCTTCTTTTCTTTTCTTGGTGGTACTGGAATTTGAACTCAGGGCCTTGTGCTTGCTGGGCAGGTGCTCTCCACTTGAGCCATGCCTCCAGCCCTTTCTACATTGGTTATTTTTGAGATAGGGTCTCACTTTATGCCCAGCTGATCTGGACCGAGATCTTCCTGACTGTGCTTCACATGTAGCCTGGATAACAGGTGTGCACAACTGTGCCCAGCCATT